CAAGATACCAGCAAGGACATGCAATGCCTCACGCACCCTCTTTCCAAGTACACCTCTCCATTTAAATTGCTCAGATGACTGACCTTGGCCATCCTTAGTGGCTCTTACACACAAGTTAGGAGTGCTGCCAAAGTCTACTACACAACCTCCCTGCCTGTGTTTGCTGGGCACAGAGCTAAATGATCCTTTTGGCTTTCTCTCTAGAACCTGAGCCAAGTACCACTCTTCATGAAATTTCATAGCCAAAGAAATTATATTTGACTAATGACTTGAAAAGATGGGGAGGGTCGGAATTCCACAGTGTGAACTTTAAAACAAAAAGGCTGTTTAATAATTTTAAGTACTCTATGAGAGGTATTTCCATGCATTTATCTTTTATTAAATAGTTTGACTGTGCTATCCAGAGGTATCTACTATTAACTCTGTGTGAGTGTGTGTGTGTGTGTGTGTGTGTGTGTGTGTGTGTGTGTGTGTGTGTGTGTGTGTGTGTGTGTGTGTGTGCATGTCGCGGGGAGCTACACAAGCACATATATGTTTGGAAACCAAAGGACAGCTTGAGGTATATCTCAAGAAGGCTGTCAACCTTTTTGAAACAGTTCTCTCACTTGGACCTGGGACTCACAGTTTAGACTAGGCTAGCTGACCAGCAAGCCCTGAGATCCACCTATCTCTACTTTTCAAATATACAAGTTTCAAGTGCATACCACCTCAGCCAGCTTTTAAGTCAATTCTAGAGACTGAATATGTTTCCTCATGCTAGTGCCACAAGCACTTTGCAAACGGAGCCAAACTATTAGCTTTTTAAAAGTATTTTTATTGTGCATAAGCTCTGGGTTTGTATTTCTGTTTGCATTGCATAGTTGCATCATGCCCTGTAATGTGAACATGACATTGTTTCCAACAATAAATTTCCATTCTATGCCACATTGTTTAGAAACATCATCATAGTCACAAATTGTGTTTCATCAAACCTAAGAGGCTCTTGGTGGTAAAGAACATGACTAATTTATCTGTCACTTAAAGTAGGGGGGCAGTGGGTCCTGCCAGTTAGTGTGAAGCATGATCAACCAAGAGACGCGTCTAGGGTTTAGAGGTGTTAGTATTTAGAAAACTTTTCTTTCCATTTGGATAAACCCACATTTACTACTAGTATATAGGATGGTTGTATCATTATTTATTTATTTCCTGTTTTTGAGACATGTAGAGTCTTCTTGGGTTTTTCACTCTTATAATAAATACTGTAATAAACCTGTTCTATATAAATTTGAATATAAAGGTGGGATAATATAATTATTTTAGGTTGTCAGAAGTGAGTTTACTTTTAAGTCAGGTTATACCTAACATTCTAGAACTGTAAGACCAAATTATTGTGCAACGGTAACTCTCACCAATTAGTAATGAAGAGCCAGTTGCATTGGACATCATTCAGCTAGAGCTTTGTCAACATAGTAACAACTAGCCAGGTATAGTGCTGCACCCCTGTAATTCCAGGACTTAGGAGACAGAGACAAAAGAATCAAAAGGCCATCCTGAGCTACATAACCAGTATAACGCCAGCCTGGACTACATTATCCCAAACACAGTAAAACAGCAAAACCAAAACTCACTTACTGTTTAATGGGGGAAATAGTTTTTCACTTTGAGTTTTCATCTTTAAATTAAAAAGGAATGGTCAAATGTTTACTATGTATTTGTTAACAATATTTCCTCTGTGTTTTCTATTGTTTATGTGTTATTCCTCTGATGTATTTTTTCTTCTCAAAGAGATTTTCGGTTTTAACTGGTTACCGGGTCTTACTGTGAAGCTCAGGCTGGCCTTGAACTCATGACCTGCCTCAACCTGCACCATGGTCTTCAACCTGACTGAGGTCTTCCTTTGGAGTAATGCTAATCAATTCTCTTTAGAATACCTAGCACAGAATTCTCTTGTTTGCCTGAAGTTTCAATTATGTGTAGAAACTCAATTTTTTTTGCATTTGTAGTATATTTATAATAACATTGACTTAGCAGTCTCTTTGTTTAGGTTGTTTTGCTGTTCTGAGAATAATATGAACTCTCAGCCTCGAGTAGCTGAACAAGCACTCTGTTGCTAAGCTATACCTCCAGTCCCTTCTCTGAGATTTATTTCATTGCGTCTAAAATTTTAGAGATTTATCTGTATTAAGAGCTGTTTCTGATAGTTTCCATTTTATCTGTGTTTTCTGATATCACTGTTACTTATAGTAGTTCATTGGACTTTTCATTTCATTTACTCCTTGGTAATCTTTTTAAATTTTGTTACTGGTTGTGGGGAAAGTACAGCGATAGGAAAACAAGCTTAGTATACTCAAGACTCTAGCTTCATTTTCACTTGCCAAAATATAAAATAGCCAAATCTGTTGTCTTTGCTTACCTGCTTTCGTTAATAAATTCAGTTAGGGGTATTTTTTAACCTGTAATTGAAACTATATCAAACCATGAATTTTAGGAATCATTGATATTTTAATACTATTTACACTTTCCAGTCAAGCACTGAAACTACTTCTCTGGGGAAACCCTGGCACATATGTGCACACAGACAGGCAAAGGAATTTGTGATGCAGTAATGTTTATAGTCATAAACAGTGAGATTCTGGAGGACAGAGCAGATCGTTGGGGCATAGTTACACATTAGGGTGTTCCATGGGCAGCCAGAGAGCTTGCTCTGTTTCACTCTTCCAATAGAGATGGATCAGGAGCTTTCTGCTCTTTTATAAGTATTTTATTTAGGGACTGGATGGCCCAGCAGTTAAAAGCATGTACTTCTCTTTGTACAGGACTGGAGTTCTGTTCCCAGCACCCATGATGGTTGGCTCGCAAGGGTCTGTAACTCCAGCTTCAGGAATTCTTTTTTATGAGACAGGGTTTCTCTGTATTGTTTTGGAGGCTGTTGGTCCAGCCCAGCCTTGAACTCACAGAGATCCGCCTGCCTCTGCCTCCCGAGTGCTGGGATTAAAGGCGTGAGCCACCACCACCTGGCTGCTTCAGGAGTTCTTAATGCCTTTGGCTTCTACAAGTACTTCTCCTATGCACATACCTACATACAGACCCACATGCATACACATTATTAAAAGTGATTTTCCCTGTTTTTAAGACTGACTAGCATTCCGTGGTATCTGTCTTATTCATCCATTCATAGACATAAGTTAATTGTGTGTGTTAACTGTGGGAGTAATGCTAGGATGATCATGGGATACAGATATCCCTTCACATGTTGAGTTTAGTCCCTTCGTATATGTCTCCTAAGTAACAACCAAATGGTTAGTAGTTCTACCGTTGTTTTTTTTTTTTAAGAAAATGCACATCATTTCTTGTCCTAGCTATACCAATTTACATCACCACCACCAGCACACAGGAGGCCCCTTCTGCCCATAGTCTCACTAACACTTGCTGTCTTTTTGTATTTTGATTAGCTTGTGTCACAGTCCATTCGAGACCTAATTGTGGAACCTGGCACTGCTCAGGTGGCCATCCTACCATTCCATGGGTTGGGGTGTGGCACAAGGCAGACAGATGTTACCAGAACAGGGAGGAAATAGCTTCAGGGAATTTGTTTCCTTGTCTCTTATTCAGTTCTTTCTACTTCTATCACTAGTTCTACTCTTTTCTTGGAGGTATTTGGAGTGGTTTCCTTTTTAACTTTTTAAATTCTTTTTTTATTGCTATCCCCATATGAATGAATTATAATTGTAGATTCATACCCTTGCACTTGTCCTGACAACTATATAAAGGCTTCCTTTCAAGAACCATTTCTGATTTTTAGCATTAATTTTGTTGAGCTATTTGTGGGGTTGATTCCATTTAATCTTTTCAGCATTTGTAGATATATATATATAATCTGTGTATCTATGTATCTAGAAATTGCATGTTAGCTAGAGGTTTAATTTTGAAGCTGTACAATACTTTCCTTTCCAGAGCCATGTTTATTTTCTCATGGGTCTTTGGAAATGGGTAGGACTGGCCAGTTTGAGGATTTTTTTGTTTTGTTTTGTATTGCTGTTGTTTTTGAAAGGCCCTTCTGTTGGAATGTGCTTTGAAAGAGTATCATTTGCTTCTTTTAAAAACTGTAAGACAAACTTAAGTTTATATCTTATCATTATTCTTGACTAGAAAAGTTCCTTAAGTGATAGAGTTTACACATTTCTTTTCTTCATATAAGGCATAAGCCATCATACCCTTTGCTATTGTGACTCTGTTCCTTGTTTCCTTTTGTTATAGCTAACTTTCTCCACTACCCCCTCTACTGTTATATTTTATGGAATAACACTTATTTTCTTCAGATTGTTATAAAGTAACCACACAAATATAATGATATATATGAACATTTAATATCCTTTGCCATCATTTTAGGTTTAAAAATGTTACCATTGCTGGGCGTTGGTGGCTCACACCTTTAATCCCAGCATTCAGGAGGCAGAGGCAGGCGGATCTTTGTGAGTTTGAAGCCAGCCTGGTCTACAGAGTGAGTTCTAGGGACAGGCTCCAAAGCAATACAAAGAAACCCAGTTTTGAAAAACCAAAAAAAAAAAAAAAAAAGTTACTATTATCATTATTTAACCTTTCCTGGTTTACTTTAAGAGCCTTTTTATTTTAAAATAGAAAAATGATAGTCATGAATATTAAATTTTTGAATCTAGTCCATTCATCAAGGCTGGGGAACTCAAGTTTTGTTTTTCCAGTATCGGGGATAGAATGGAGGGACCTTGCACATGCTAGGTGACTGAGGCACATACTAACCTGATCTTGTATCTGTGTAGCAAATTGTTCTGAGTCACAGTTAGCTCATTTTGAAGTGTGAGTGGTAAGCTAGACACATGTTGAGCAGTGCCCAGAGAGTAAAATCAGCGGCCAAGTGTGTGCCACGGGGAAGGTCCCAGGCTGAGAGTGGATGAGGATGGCCAATCTGCAGAGAAATGGGCATGCTAGGAGCTAAAAGTTACCATGTTTTAATTTGCCTTGTGTTTGTTTGTTTGTTTGTTTAGCATTCCATATTGGAAGAAGAGATTTTTAGACATGAAAAAAATGCCTTTGTTTAGTAAATCACACAAAAATCCAGCAGAAATTGTGAAAATCCTGAAAGACAACCTGGCCATTTTGGAAAAGCAAGACAAAAAGACAGACAAGGTATGATTCAAAACAAAACCATTATTAACATGTGTGTATTTCAAGGCCAAGCCCATATAAAGGCTTACTGAAGAATTAAGTGTGGTCCCGGCTGTGCTCATAGGTTGTTTCAGTTTATTATGCAGCTAGTAAATGTTGGGTCTGTTGTACTGAACCTTTGGTTCACTGTCCAGAGCCTCTGACCCACCCCATGTCTCTGTAGAGATCAGAACTGTACCATTGTATTGTGTCATGCTGATGTGAAAGAGAACCAGCACATTTCTTTCACATTGTTCCAAGGTCTGACCTAGGGGACTTCCTCATAGAGAGGACTCTGCTCTGTTCATCATCCTTTTGAAGGAATTTTAAGTCCTGCATATTTCTCTCTGCAGTGACTAAGTTCAAGATGACCTGTTATAAAATCAAAGACCTTAAGGTCATAGTATGCTTCTGTCTCAGTATGTAATAAAACCTGAAACCTTTGAAGGAATTGGAGAAATATCTTGTTCTGATTCTGATATTCTTTAAGATATTGCGCCAAATTTTGGTTCAAATAGAAACTAAAAATAACCTTAATAAAGTATGCATAAATTAAGAAAAAAAAGATCCTAGTTTTCATTATTAATTGGGAAGAGGCCAACTGAGCCCACACCACATCCACAGCAGTGCTGATGAGGATTAAGAGCAGGAATAAGTCTGCTCACTACAGGTGACAAAGCACACTGAACTTTGGAGACATATTCAGTCATATCCGATGAGTAGGAAATACCCATTGTTAAGATCCCACAGTCCCACAGTACCTGGACACACTGTCTGGCACATTTTTGAATTTGTGCACTGTACCAGTCTTTTTCTTTTGGGCCACCAACCGTCTCCCAAATCTTGACACGAAACTTAGTAGTTTTGAATGCTTGGCCTGGCTTAGGCTCATTTTGGGCTAGCTCTTTTTAACTTAAATTAACCTATTTCCCTTTATCTACCTTTTGCCTCTGGGCTTTTTCCTTTTCTTTCCTTCTGTATATCTTCCTTTCACTGCCTCTTGTGTCTGCTGGCTGATGGCTGCCCAGCTTCTGACCTCAGGCATCTCACTCGTTCTCTCCTCTCTCTTTCTCCCTTTCTTTCATTCTTCCCTCTAGCCTAGAGTTCTCCTCCTATTTATTCTCTCTACCTGCTAGCCCTGCCTATCCCTGTTCTGCCTAGCAATTGGCTGTTCAGTTCTTTATTAGACGAAGCAGGTTTCTTAGGCAGGGAATGTGAAACAAATGCAACACATCTTTACCCAATTAAACAAATGCAACATAAGCAAAAGTAACACACCTTTACACAGTTAAGGTAAAATTCTGCAGCATAAACAAATATAACAATGTTTGCCTAGTTAAAGTAATGTTCCACAACAGCACACCAGGAAAAGCATGAGAATGTACACGCATTGTAGTTCAGAGCTTCTCAATGAGAATAGGACCAAGAAAGATGCTCGTTGCACCACACCCACCCGTGAGTGGAGGGGTAGAGAGGGCAGCAGTTGATGAGCTGCCGCCTCCGTGCAGCCACAGAGATGAGCACCACCCATGGAAAGCCGGTAAAAGGAGTAAATTGTGAAAGGGCGCAACTCATCCTTATGTTTCAGATTAGAGGAGCTAGAACTATGTAACACAAAGGTAAGGAAAGTAGAAAAAAGCAAAACAGTCATGATTGTGGAAGTTAGATGACATTAAAGCAAATACCTGAGATTATAAAAAGGTAAAGTTTATTTGTCCTCAGAGTTTTGGAAACTTCAGTCTGTGGTCTGTCAGGCTTATTGCTCTGGGGCCTCTGGTAGTGACAGCACATCATGTTGGGAACATGTGACATGGCCTGTAGCTGGGTTGGGAAAGGAAAGAAAAAAATGATGTGGTTCATCCCACAGTCCCATTGAAAAGCATATTCCCAGTGACTGGGAGAGACCTCCCCATAGGCCCTACCACCACCAGGATTGCCACACTGAGCACATGAATCTTTGGGGAACATTTGAGGTCCAAATTATTGTAATTTCATGAAATATATAAAGATAAAGAGGCACACAAGTGATGGTGTAATGAAAATATGGTCTCCTCACTTGGATTCGTGATAGCAGAAAGCCTTTCTTTGAAATTGTTCTTAAGCCTGTAATAGACTAAAGAATTTGAGAAATGCCTTTTTAAAAGTAGTGCCATGCTGACATAAGTAATTTTTTTGTCATTTGTCTTACTCCCTCCTTTTCTTCTCATTCTGATGACTGATACTGCAGTGTAAAATCAACCAAAATAAACTTTTTTAAAAATAGAGACACAAATTGTTAACTAAATTAGTCTTTCTTTTGTCAACTGTACTAACTAGTTTAATGAGGGTTTTTGAGAAAGAATTCTCATACCATATAATTTCTCAACTCTGGGTTTTTACAAGTCACAAGATTGTGCAACCATCACCACTATTTAATTGAAGAACATTTCCATCATTCCCAAAAGAAACCCACACCCTTTGTAGTCATGCCTCTCAGCCCACTCCCCACACTTGACGCTAACTACATTCTGCCTCTATGGATTCTCTTATTATTCCTGAACTGTAGTAAACTGCTCTAAGTTTTACAGATACAAAAAAAATATGGTTGTGTAGGAGGAGTAAGTATGTCAAAAGCTTATGAGTTTTGACAACTTGGGTTTTTATGCCCAAGGGAGTAAGGATCCACTGAACAACTATAACAAAAGACTTAAATAAAGACTTATAGCTGTTGATAAGTCCTCAAAACACTCTACTTAATTTTCAAGAATACACTTTCTTTTTGTTTGTACCAAGTGAGACTCTGAATATTGTTTGAGACTTCAGTTACATTGTCTAAGAAGAAATATTAGGGAACTTTCCACATAAATTTTAGTAAAATTTTTTAAGATTAAAAAAAGGAATACCTACTAATGTTGTTGCTGCTGCTGCTATTGTTTATTTATGGCCAGAAAATGATCTTTGGTTATAAATAGACAGGGCCAAAGAAGTATGTGTCTCTCTGTGTGTGTATATGTGTTTTCATCTGTGTGTGTGTGTCTGTGCATATGTATGTGTGTGTCCCTGTGTATGTGTGTGTCTGTGTGTGTGTTGTGGGGAGCTGTTTGCTTCCTTAAAACCTAAAATTTGTATTCTTTCTAACTATTAACATACTTTCTGGTCACTAGGCTTCAGAAGAAGTGTCAAAATCTCTGCAAGCAATGAAGGAAATTCTGTGTGGTACAAATGACAAGGAGCCCCCTACAGAAGCAGTGGCTCAGCTGGCTCAAGAGCTCTACAGCAGTGGACTGCTCGTGACACTGATAGCCGACCTGCAGCTGATAGACTTTGAGGTGAAGGCTCTGGACAAGGCTGTCCCTCTTGTTTCTTGAGAGTAAATAATGAGCATCCATATTTGACTTTAAATGACTGATGTCCCTCCTGGTTCCTAGAGTAAATAATGAACGTCCATGTTTGATTTAAAATGACTGATGTCCCAGCAGCAAATAAGTCTGTACTTAAAACAATTAATGTCCATATATGATACTAAACAGCTTTCATAAACCTTTACAGTTAGATTCATTAACAGGCAGAAAGGCATACTGCAGTCAAGTTTCCTGCACCTAGGATAATGACCATTGTTCACAAGAGATAACAAGTACTTGTGTACAAAGTACAATTTCAAGCACACAACTCATTCTTAGAACTACCTTTATGGCAAATATTTCATTATTCAATCCATTTTCATTTATTGGGGTGTGTATGTGTATTTGTTTATGGAGGTAGTTGTATGTCCTAGTTCACATGTGAGAGGATGACTCTCCTGAGTGGATTCTCTTCTGCCACCTTGTGGGATCGGGAGATCAAACTCATGTCATCAGGCACAAGAACCTTTACTCACTGAGCCATCTCACTAGCCCTGTTCATCCCATGTTATAGATAAGAACCCAAGACTCAAGGTTTTAAGTAATTTTCCCAAAGCCATGAAGTTACTAAGCTGGCTCTGTGACTCAAAGACAGTATTATCAAGCCTGTTCTCATTAAAATACTATACCAAACCAAGAATTTGTTAAATGCCAGTATGGTAGTATGTTTGACATAATTTTGAAAGCAGTAACCAAATTTATCTAAGCAATTAGATAAACTAAAAGCAATAAATGTGTTATAAGCAATTTATTATATTATTATTTATTATATACCTTACAGAATAGTGAATACTGTGAATATTTGTAGGAAGACTTATATATTCGCTGTTTAGATGGTAGTCATCCTGTTTTCCTATTTCTTTCTTTTCTCTACCAATATCCTTGGTAATATCAGGTAAGTGTTGTTTCTCATTGATTTTTATAGACAGAAGGTGTACAATTTTAAGCAAATTGCTTTTAGCTTTATTCACAGACAGGTAGAAGGAAGTTAATTACGGTGATTCAGCTGACATCAGGTCAGGGTTCTAGGGATCTATGAAAAACTAGCCCACAGCTCCCTGGACAGAGGGGATAGGTAGAAAAAGTGCAGACAAGACTGGTGGAATTGTAAAACTGGAGAAGAGCCTCAAAGGACCCAGGCTTTAACTCATTTTCCTGCAGATACACCTGCATGTCTTTTTCTTTCTCTCCCTTATTCTGTGTCTCCATTTGACATTTTCTGGCCTGTAGTCTGTGTTCCTTGAGCTTGGCTTGTTAAATCTCTGCCACCACTTATTCCCATTTCTTTTTCAAACTGGCTAAGTGTGGAATCAAAGCATGCATTTACTATGTTCATATACTTAAGTGCTCCTTTATTTTGTTTAAAATTAGATGTCATGAACATAGTAGAAACTTGGCATAGTGGAAAACACTTGAGTTGGTGATGCATGTGTCTTGAGTCCTGCCTCTGCTACTGATTGTTCAACCAGTAAATTAACTCTTTCAGCCCAAATCTTCTCCTCTCTATAGAGCAATGACAGGAACTCACACCACTTCTGTCAGTACTAAACTGTGTAAAAGAGATGTACATATATGCTACACTATATAAAAAAACATAAATGCAAATGTATAAAAATGTCAGAATATTTTCAGCTCCTCTCCAACTAAAATGAAATACAAACTGAATTGATGTGTTACAGCATTTGAAATTTTCATTATTATTATCGTTATTATTATTAATGGTGGTGTGTGTGTGTTTGGTTCACATGTAGAAGATGGAGGACATCCATTCCTACCAGGGATATAACTCGGTTTATTAGGCTTGAGTGTCAAACACTTCTGCCCACTGAGCTATTTAGTGGGACCATTTTTATTTGTTTTGGATATAGTTTGACTGTGACCTTGAAAAAGAAATCGAATCTTCATTCTTGGATTATAATTATATTTCTGTCTCTCTTATTGTGTATATTTCCTGACAGTAGTCACATTGTATGCTACTGTTACCATTGATCTGCTTGAATTAGTTAAGAGATAAGTCTTATGTTATATCCCACTCTATTTTATAGTAGGCTAATCGAAGGAATATGCCCAAGGGTTATTATGCTTTGAAGACCCAGGAAATATGGACCATCAGATGCAGTAACATAAAACAGGTTCAAAGTGCTAAGAATGGGATAAGAAGATAAAGGGCCTGGACAGTACCAACAGACATGCTAACAAGGAAGGGGACTTTCACAAGGGCCCCACCTGTAGCCAAAGAAGTATAATCAGCTAATGTCTGCTGAGAGAGAGCCCTCATTTCTCTATCTAGTGAGATCTAGGCCCCCAGAGCTACATAGTGAGACATTCTCTTGAAAAAAAAAAAGATTGTCATTATAGTGATTAAAAAACAGCAAACAGTTCTTGACTTTATGCATTCTTATGGTACAGTTATTAATGAATTAGATAGTTGGTACATGCGGTTGTTCTCCCCTAGTAAATACATACTTGTTGCCTGAATAAACATTGATGAAAACCATTGACTCTTTAGCATTCTATCACCTGCACAGTGCTGTGAGGGTGGAGGCAGTCTCACCAGCTTTCCTAGCCTGCTTACAGAAATGTGCTACACATCTCTCTCTCTCTGAACCGCAGGCAAGGGCCAGCCAGCCGTAGGCAACACTTTTCCTTTTTGAGACCAGAGTATTAATTCAAGCTAATGACTGCGTGATAAAATTCTTTCTGGTTTCAAAACATATTCTAACCACACAGAACCCCTAACTCTTGTCTCTCAGTTCATAGGCAGCATTCAGAAGCCCCTCCTGTTTTAAAAGCACCTTGGGTGTTAGGACTGTTTCGTACAGCTGAGCTACTGCTAAACAAAGCTGTGAAGCACCTGGAATTTTCTTTGGCCACTCGTTCCAGTGTTACATAGCACTTTGAACATGCTGTTCTGTGCCACCCTTGGTCATACTCCTTCCAGAAGCCCTCTGACAACAGGGCTGATCTTAGGTTGGTTGGTTGGTTGAATGTAGGGTATAATAAAAGAAGGTATCCTAGCCAGGCAATGTTACACACCTGTAACCTCAGCGTTCAGAAAACAGGATGAGATGAGAAGATCGGGTGGTCTAGGCTAGGTGGGGTTACTTAGAAAACTGTCAAAAAGAGAACAGACATCAGCCAGGCAGTGCACACCTTTGATCCTAGCAATTGGGAATGCAGAGGCAGGCAGATCTCTGTGAGTTCGAGACCAGCCTGGTCTACAGAATGAGTTCTAGGTAGACTCCAAAGCTACAGAGAAACCCTGTCTTGAAAAAAAAAAGAATGGAGAGACATCGATAAGTCATTTTTCTTAAGGAAGTAATAAATTATTTAGTAGATAATTTGGGCTGTTTTGAATAGTGATTATAGCATTTCCCAAAGTGAAAATCTTTTACCATGTGTGTTTGAAGAGCACGGTAGTCATTTGACTAGAATGCCTGATGTTTTTATAACTGGAAGGAAAAATTACTATTTTAGGGATAGGCTGCTGTTCTTGCCAGATAACCCAGGGGAGGGAGCATTCTTTGCAGAGAGTGGGGGGGGGACAAAAACATGAAATTTTGTGTAGAGTCCACCGTGGTAGATATGAGATAGGTCGTTGTAAAAGTTTGTATACAGTTTGTGGGCAATAACCAGAAGGAAAGCAATGAACTTAGATACCCCTTGCAGAGAACAATAACAGAAATAGAGATGTCTTCTATAGCAGTAGGCCAGTGGGGTAGGAAATCAAGAAGAGAATCGTTTGGAACAGGGAAAGAGAAGACTTGAGAATACCATGAAAACGAGAGAGTATAAGGAAAATGGTGACTGGGTAGACTGAAGATCTGAAGTTGTTTCTACATGGGGCTGGACTTCACCCCTGTTGGTTCTGAGCCTTTCATAGGGACTAGTATGAATGTGTATGTTGAGTGAAGGACACTGGATGGTTTTCTACACTCAGTATGGTAAGAAAATGCCCATTGCTAGACCAAGACATTTAACAGGGTTTGAAAACTGGGAACCGGAGATTCAGACCTTACTCTGACAGCAGTGGTGTTTGGGGAAGCAGAGACATTAGACTTGACATCAGGGACTAGCTCAGGAGTCTGTGACAGATTCATTTCTCCTTCGAGAATCCAGAGGAAAGTAACCTGGGGAATGGGACAAGAGGGGAAGATTTTGCTATCAGTGAGTAAGAGCTAAGAGACAGACCTGAGTTTAAAAAGACATCTCATTACTCACCCATAAGGTCTTATCTCACCCTTTAAGCCTTAAGTTTCCTGACAGAAAAGAACCATGTGAGAAAAGAACATGGTATGAGGTGGAGGGAGGGCTGACTGACTGACTGACTGATGAACCTACTATCAGTGGTAAAGCCTCTGATATTGTGGCCTCAGGATCAAGCCAGACCTGTGTCTCCAGGTCTGGCCACTATTTAAGACATAGCTATAGGTAATTTTATATTTTGTAATGCAAGGTGGTAAGAGATGAAGGGGTTAACAATGTATTGCATGGCAGGGCTGATGCATTTGCTTTAAAGGTAGCTTTGCCAAGTAGGGGTGGGTGCAAGTCCTCAGGCTGAGTAAGAAAACTGCACTGTGCTGGGCTTTGGTGGCGCATGCCTTTAATCCCAGCACTCGGGAGGCAGAGGCAGGCGGATCTCTGTGAGTTCCAGTCTGGTCTACAAGAGCTAAGTTCCAGGACAGCCTCCAAAGTCACCAAGAGACCTGTCTCAAAAAACCAAAAAAAAAAAAAAAAATGAAGAAGAAGAGGAGGAGGAGGAAGAGGAAGAAGAAGAAGAAGAAGAAGAGGAGGAGGAGGAGGAGGAGGAGGAGGAAGAGGAGGAGGAGGAGGAGGAGGAGGAGAAAGAAAGAAAACTGCACTGTGAACTAGTGATCATCTCTCGCTACTGTCAACAAGAGTGTGTAAGCAAAGGTGTTTCAACCCAA